TTCCCCCGGAGGAGCTGGAGGAAGTGTCTGGAGAGAGGGAGGTCTGGGCATCTTTGCTTAGACTGCTGCCCCCGCGACCCGGCCCCGGATAAGCGGAAGAAAATGGATGGATGGATGGATGGTGTTTAGGTGTCAGTGCCTGACAAAGATCAATTAGATCCAATCCTCAGTGCAATATAGAAAAATATTCAGCAGAATATTGTAAAATACTTTTCTGAAGATTTGTTACATCTTTAACAGTCCGTTAACAGTCTTTAACACTGAGTATATTTAACTGTACCAGTGGTTTTTAGTCAACAAGATGTCTTCGTTTGCACCCATGTAATGGTGTCTATGAAATTACTGGATGTGCATTTTTGGATACGTTTGGTTTGGTTTAACATACACGTCACTAACTGTGTATCTCCTCTTTCCCATGATATGTCCTCTCTCCCTCCCTGTACCTTTTTGCAGGTATCCCTGGCTCCACATTAACCTGCCCAGTGTTTGTTTGTTGTTTAGTTAAAGGGAGTTTTTCCTCTTCACTGTCACCAAGTGCTTGCTCAAGGAGGATTTGTTGGGTTTTTCTCTATAATACTATAAGGTCTAGACCTTATTATGGAAAGTGGCTTGAGATGATTGTGTTGTGAATTGGTGCTATACAAATAAAACTAAACTGACAATTGAACTTGAAGTTAGGCATCAATAAGAAAAATGTTAAACTTGGATCTTAATGTGACACTTTTTTGCTTTAGGTAAGATGATGTAAATTTCAAAGTAAGAGTCTTTAAAAAATACATTCTGAGACTATTAAGAGGTCAAAAAAGTATTTGGATGTTAGGGGTATCTCATGAGCTGCGTTCCTTCACACAAAAGGTGTGGACATGGTGTTAGAAACCAGTACAGGTTAGAGCAGAGTCAGACCTGAGGGCAGTGGTGTAGTGGTGAATGGCCTCCTGGTGGCGACCACTGTCTTTCAGGAAGTTGGCGTAGTTGTAGTGGACTTTGGCATTGTGAGGCAGGGTCTGGATACCAGAGCTGAAAAGAGAAGGGAGAGAAATAGGCAGGATGTCAGTCTGAAGAAAGATATGAGGGGCACATACTATATCGCAGCAAAATCACTGTGAGAACACAAAGGAAGTGGTTAGCCTCACTAGGACTGGATTTGTATCTCTAGGTGAGGTGGGGTGCGTTCAACATTATTTGTGCTGGTCAGTGATTTTAATCCTGTCCAATGTATGTATGTGGGTAATTGTTCACCTCCACCCCAGTAAAGAGTGCAGCCACAGTTACCTCCTGTTTTTCTGACAAGTGGTTGTTCCTCCTGTAATTAAAATCTGGATTGATGTCTTGGTATTTTACAGTGGAATTTTGACATGGGAAGAGCTGCTTATTAGTCTAATGCTTTTTTTTTCAGCTGACTGTAAAATAGGACTTTTGTGTAAGAAAAAAAGGTCAAAGATATTTTTCCCAATATAAATGTGCTAACACCAATATATTGCATAGGCCTATTTGGGAACCAGTATGGTGAGCGACTGCAGAAAGTAATACACTAATAAAACAAATATGTCTGGAGTGGCTTTACTTCAACAAAAAGGAACCTATACCACAAGTTTCTTTTGATGATTTCCTATGTCATCTTGTATATACAGTGAGTAAATGTACTTAGTTATTTTCCAAAACTACTGTGTTGTTGGTGTGGACTGTAATATAAAAAGGTGTTTCTGTGAAAAATGACCTGGGAGAACTGGGAGATCCTTTGTCAGGAGCCTTACATATATAAGCTTTAGCTGTACTTTAGTATTTTGTCAGCATTGTACAGTAGCTGAATAAACCTTTGTGAAGTTAGGCCTACATTGCACTACCTGCAGTAATTTTTACAGTGCCTTGCGAAAGTATTCGGCCCCCTTGAACTTTGCGACCTTTTGCCACATTTCAGGCTTCAAACATAAAGATATAAAACTGTAATTTTTTGTGAAGAATCAACAACAAGTGGGACACAATCATGAAGTGGAATGAAATTTATTGGATATTTCAAACTTTTTTAACAAATAAAAAACTGAATAATTGGGCGTGCAAAATTATTCAGCCCCTTTACTTTCAGTGCAGCAAACTCTCTCCAGAAGTTCAGTGAGGATCTCTGAATGATCCAATGTTGACCTAAATGACTAATGATGATAAATAGAATCCACCTGTGTGTAATCAAGTCTCCGTATAAATGCACCTGCACTGTGATAGTCTCAGAGGTCTGTTTAAAGCGCAGAGAGCATCATGAAGAACAAGGAACACACCAGGCAGGTCTGAGATACTGTTGTGGAGAAGTTTAAAGCCGGATTTGGATACAAAAAGATTTCCCAAGCTTTAAACATCCCAAGGAGCACTGTGCAAGCGATAATATTGAAATGGAAGGAGTATCAGACCACTGCAAATCTACCAAGACCTGGCCGTCCCTCTAAACTTTCAGCTCATACAAGGAGAAGACTGATCAGAGATGCAGCCAAGAGGCCCATGATCACTCTGGATGAACTGCAGAGATCTACAGCTGAGGTGGGAGACTCTGTCCATAGGACAACAATCAGTCGTATACTGCACAAATCTGGCCTTTATGGAAGAGTGGCAAGAAGAAAGCCATTTCTTAAAGATATCCATAAAAAGTGTCGTTTAAAGTTTGCCACAAGCCACCTGGGAGACACACCAAACATGTGGAAGAAGGTGCTCTGGTCAGATGAAACCAAAATCGAACTTTTTGGCAACAATGCAAAACGTTATGTTTGGCGTAAAAGCAACACAGCTCATCACCCTGAACACACTATCCCCACTGTCAAACATGGTGGTGGCAGCATCGTGGTTTGGGCCTGCTTTTCTTCAGCAGGGACAGGGAAGATGGTTCAAATTGATGGGAAGATGGATGGAGCCAAATACAGGACCATTCTGGAAGGAAACCTGATGGAGTCTGCAAAAGACCTGATACTGGGACGGAGATTTGTCTTCCAACAAGACAATGATCCAAAACATAAAGCCAAATCTACAATGGAATGGTTCACAAATACACATATCCAGGTGTTAGAATGGCCAAGTCAAAGTCCAGACCTGAATCCAATCGAGAATCTGTGGAACGAACTGAAAACTGCTGTTCACAAACGCTCTCTATCCAACCTCACTGAGCTCGAGCTGTTTTGCAGGAGGAATGGGCAAAAATTTCAGTCTCTTGATGTGCAAAACTGATAGAGACATACCCCAAGCGATTTACAGCTGTAATCGCAGCAAAAGGTGGCGCTACAAAGTATTAACTTAAGGGGGCTGAATAATTTTGCACGCCCAATTTTTCAGTTTTTTATTTGTTAAAAAAGTTTGAAATATCCAATAAATTTCGTTCCACTTCATGATTGTGTCCCACTTGTTGATTCTTCACAAAAAATTACAGTTTTATATCTTTATGTTTGAAGCCTGAAATGTGGCAAAAGATCGCAAAGTTCAAGGGGGCCGAATACTTTCGCAAGGCACTGTAGTTCACAAGTATTCAGATCGGCCGCAGCAGGCAACTACAGCACCTTAACCTTATACTTACTGTATAAATCATAGCTAAAACAACTGTAACCAACACAACTCTGCTTATGTGGATATGATACCACGAGGTAGGGGGACCCTTTTATACATTTATCTCACAAAATTACCTGATCACCTGAGTACATTTAACTCTGATATATCAGGGCATTTCTGTGCTGCCTCTAATTCTGAGTAATTTGCATAGTTAATCTGAGTTCACCTGTACTACACATGCCAACTTTTCTACCTCATCCATCATTTGCTTATCCAGAGGTAGGTCACAGTGAAGTTCAGAAGAGCAGTCTAGGCATCCCTCTCCCCAGTAACATTTTCCAGCTCCTCTTATGGAACCCTGAGGCATTCCCAGGCTGGATGAGATATGCAATCCCTCCAGCGTGTTCTGGGTCTACAACAGGGGCCTCCTACCATTTAGACATCCCCAGAAAGCCCCAAATGGAAGCCACCCATCCTAATCAGATGCCTGAGCCTCCTCAGATGGCTCCTTTCTACACGAAGGAGCAGCAGCTCTATATCAAGGTCTCTCAGATGTCTGAACTCCGCATCCCATCTCTAGCACTGAGTCTAGCCACCATAAGCAAGAAATTCATTTTGGCCACTGTATTTGCAATCTCATTCATTTGGTCATTACACAAACCTCATGCCCACAGTGACTGATAAATTTAAAGCTCTGCCTTTCAGCTCAGTCCCCTCTTCATCACAATGGTCTGACATGTCTACATTTCTACCTTGGTCAAACATAAAAAAAAACAACTTTTTTAAAAGGTTAAAGTGATAAGTGACAGCAGCATTGGTGTTCAAGGGTTCAAAGATTTTTATTGTCTATTCACTATATGTGCAGGACATACAAAAAAATCAAAATACAGATTGACCAAGAAGGTCCCTTCTCCCTGAAGGCAGGAGTCTGAAGTAGGAGTGTGAGGGGTGGGAGGTGTCTTACGACTTGCGTTCTGCATGACCAGCCGGTCGAAGCACTTCATAAAAATTGAAGTTGGTGCTATAGCCTGAGAGTCATTGTAACTGGTTGGGTGGGGCTTCTTTGGAATTGGAATTATTGTGGCGGCCTTGAAACACACAGAAACAACCACTTGGCTCAGGGAGATGTTAAAGTTGTCCGTGAGGACATCCCTAAACTCCTCGGAACAGTCCTTAGGTATGTTATCTGGTCCAGCTGCCTTGCATGGGTTGATCCTGAAGAGGGTCTTCTTCATGCTGGCTGTGGACAAACACACAGCCTGCTCGCCCAGGGGAGGGGTGGTCTTCTGTGCTGGTGTGTTGTTCTGTGTTTCAAAGCGGCCGAAGAGGTCATTGAGGTTGTCCAGTAGAGAGATGTCACACAGAGATGTCGCAAATCCGGGGTGGGGGTTTATAGCCTGTGATGGTTTGGATGCCTCGCCAGAGACTCAGTGCGTCCCTGGTGTTGGTGAAGTGTCCAGATATTCTCCTGTTGTATTGACATTTTGCCTCCCTGATTCCACGGGACAGGTTGGCTCTTGCTGTTATCAGGCCTGCTGTGCCACTGGCCCTAAAGGCTGCATCCCGAGCCTTCAGGAGTCTGTGAACCTCACCTGTCATCCATGGCTTCTGACTGGCATGAACAGTGATGTTTCTGGTGTAGGTCACATCGTCAATGCATTTTGTGATGTATGCTGTGACGGCCTCAGTGTATTCCTCTATGTCTATGTGATTGTTATGAGTGGCTGCTTGTTTGAAAATGTCCCAGTCTATAGTGTCAAAACAGTCCTTCAGAGCATACGAAGCCCCCTCCGGCCACACACGTACCTCCTTTTGTGTTGGTGTGATGGCTCTTACTCTGGGTCTGTATGCAGGTCTCAGCATAATGGTGATGCGATCAGAGAGACCCAGGTGGGGGAGGCTTTGTATGCTCCCTTGCATGTTGTGTACACAAAGTCCAATATGTTGTCTCCTCTCGTTGGAAAGTCCACATGTTGGTGCAGTTTGGGCAATAAAACTTTTAAATCTGTGTGATTGAAGTCCCCAGCTGTGATGGGGAATCCGTCTGGGTGCGCTGTCTGTTCACTGATGGCCTGGTAGAATTCATCTAGTGCCTCACTCTTATTGCTGGTGTTAGCGGTGGGAGGACTGTATGCAGCTATCAACAGAATTACGGGGTGCTCTCTAGATAAATAAAAAGGCCGCCACTTGATGATAATAAACTCCGCCGACGGAGAGCAGTGTTTATGAGCAATAGCAGTGTCCCGACACCAAGCATCGCTGATGTAAACACAAACTCCCCCTCCGCGAGTCTTACCTCAGTCCACAAAGACTCGGTAGGCTCAGTAGCATGCTAACCCAGCTAGCTGAATAGTAGAGTCCGGTATGTTGTCATTTAGCCATGTCTCTGTAAAGATGAAAATACAGCAGTCCCTCACGTCATACTGCACAGAACTCAGGAGCTGTATGTGGTCTATTTTCTTGTCCAATGAGCGTACATTGGCCATAATGAGGGATGGTATCATGGGTCTGTGTGGGTTAGCTGCTAGCCTAGCCTGGATGCCTCCCCACTTGCCCTGCTTCTGCTTTCGTTCACACCGCTTTCGGCGCCTGCTCAGGTGATGGTGTAGCCGGCGTGTGCACTGATGTTGGAATCCGGCGTGGAAGACCATCCAGAAGTACCTCTATGACTACCCGGTCCAGGTTGAAGTGTATTGAATTATTCCCTATGTCCATTAGGCAGTGGTGACTGTATCTTGAGAGCAACATCGACGTTGAACTACATGCATCAAAATGAACACACAAACACACACACTTGTACCTGTATCTTGGTTAGGGCACTCATTGACATATTGCATTCCCCAATTCCATACCCTAACCTCAACCATCAGAACTAAATACTGTACCTAACCCTTCCCCTAATACCTAACCTACACCTGGTTCTAACCTGAACCCTAAAACCAAGTTTTAACCCTCAAAAAGGTGTTTTAGAAAGTGAAGGCTGGCCAAAATGTCCTCACTTTCCAGAAATGTCCTCACTATGTAGCAAAAACCATTTTTGGTCCTCACTATACAGCAAGTGGCTATACACATCGAGAGGAGCCAGCTGAGGTGGCTCAGGCATCTGTTTCGGATGCCTCCTGGGCAATCCTAGGGAGGTGTTCCGGGCATGTCCCACTGGGAGGAGGCCCCGGGGAAGACCCAGGACACGCTGGAGGGACTGTCTCTCGGCTGACCTGGGAACACCTTGGCATTCCCCCGGAAGAGCTGGAGGAAGTGTCTGGAGAGAGGGAGGTCTGGGCATCTTTGCTTAGACTGCTGCCCCCGCGACCCGGTCCCGGATAAGCGGAAGAAAATGGATGGATGGATGGATGGATGGATGGATGGATGGACTATACAGCAAGTACAATAACACACACACACACACACACACACACACACACACACACACTCCTTACCAGAAGAGGGCCTCCCTGGAGAGCCATACGTGGTTCTGCTGGAGGGTTTTCCAGGAGAAGAGGAGGAATAGCAGCAACATGAAGATGCTGAGGACTGTGGTGCCCCAACGGCCTACCACCGAACACAGCCGGCCCAGGCCGTGAGCCACCAGGATACAGTAACCCATACTGTGAGTGGAGGAGAAGGAAGACAGAAGAAAGCAAAAAGTAGGAACGACAATGAAAGGAAGTTTGGGAACAAGGAAAAAGGTGGGAAAGAAGGTGAAGGAGAGGACAGGAGCAAGGGTGAGAAACAAAAAAAGCAAAGCTCAAGCTTTTCTCGATCTGTTACAGTGGTCTGCTGGGGCTCACCATATTCACTCAGCATGCTTCTCTTCAAACCTGTGTGACATTACTTCATGCCCACCGATCATTTCACATCCTGTCCTGGTGTCTTTACAGACATGTGAACTAACCACAGAGACTCCCACAGGCACTCAACTGTCCTGTGGTTAATACAGAATTTGAATTAAAAATAACACTCAACTCTTCTGCTGTTTTGCAGACACAACCCACAAACACAAAACTCATTCACCGACTCTCCTCTTCCACTGAACCATGATGTATAATGGTTGAGGGTTTTTTAATTTTATCTTGCTTCTGAAAAAGAACCTTATAGTTCCTGTTTCAAGCTGGGCAGCATTCCACCTAACATCAGGAGGCGGGTTGTGAAGGACTAGCTAAACCAGGATGATCTATTCAGACAAAATGCATGCTGTGTTCCAAGATGGCACTCACATTCATTCATCTTTTTTTTTTTACAATGAACTTTGGCTGTTCTTAATGACTTTTTAGTTATTATTGTGTTATTTGTTTATTAATTTTAGGAGTCTTTCTTTTACTATTTCATGCTGTATTATTTTATGCTGTATTTGTGTATGTACTCTGATAAAAGCATTTGTGCTTTTAACTGTGATCTGGCCTTATTTTCACTGTTGTTCTTTTGTAAAGCACTTTGGCCAACTTTGGTAGTTTTTTTTCTTTTTTTTACATGTGCTCTATGAACACATTTTTAATTTGAATTGTCTCCCCTTGGCAAGACAGAATAAAATAAGTTAAGAAAACTGTCAGCCAGGTGGTAATATCAGAATCAGAATCAGAATCTGCTTTATTGGCCAGGTGTGTTGAACACACGAGGAATTTGACTCTGGTACATCGGCTCTCAATGTGCAAACAGTAAACCAGCATAAGGCTGTGTAATATAACAAAAATAAGCAGTATTTACAAGCAACATAAGTGCAAACAATGCAGAATATGTAATATGTGGTAATACAAGCCATTTGCCTAATCAAAGGAAGCAGTTCTGCCAGAAAACTGAAAATATTACCTCTAGAGAGAAAAAATAATCAAAGTATTGAGGAATTATTATTATGGTTGCACATGACATTGTTGCTGCACACTTTTTAAAATCAAATTTAAGACTTTATAAGGATCTGCGGGAACCCCCTGCAAGCTACTGTCAGCAATATTACCTTCCGTGTTATAAAAAATATCAGGGATAACAGCAGAAATAAACAGTCAGGTGAGGTGAAGAATGTGTTTCTGTTGCTTGAACTTACAATCAGCAATACTGATGTTGTACTTCTGAATGCAAATACCAGCACTTTGTATTTGCATTGCACAGAGACACAGAATCAGAAAAAGAGCTGATGTCACATAAATACTGTATAATCTGCAGAAAAACAGAAGCAAACTTCAGGATAAAAGAGCAGCTTGCCTTCCATTCCTCTTTCTCTCTTCGTTACACTCCTTCACTTTATCTGTCTGCTATCTATGTGTAAATTGGCAGGTCGACATTAACCAGCTCAGACACCTTCCTCCCTCCCTGTGTGCTCCACTGAGTGTCCTGTCAGCTCAGCTTTCAGACAAACAGTGCGTGCAGCCATCAGCCATTCTACCTATGATTGTTTCTGATGCTCTTTGTATGTGCTTGTGTGTGACTGACAGCTCGCAGTTGCCTGTTGTTGTGTAGTAACACAACCCTTTTCAACTTGTGAGTTTTCACATAGGTACAATGCAATTATAAAAAGCAAGTTCCAGAGCAAGAAATGGAAATGTTTGGCATTTTATATACATCTCAACCCAATTCTCCACACGTGGACAATTGGGTTGAGATCTGGCCACTGTAACCTATTCAGTGAGACGTCATCATCTGTCTGCATTCATTATGATTTTACACATTGTTTCGGGTTTTTCCTTCTATTTGTCATACATTGTAAGTTTGTGGTGGAGTGTTCCTTCAAGATTGACTGCAAAAATAATAAATGTTCCTGCCAAATGTAGAATAAGACTTTTCATTGTAGCCTGTTGAGTTAGATGAACTAAAAATTACATTTTGAGTTAAAGCCTTGACAGAAATATGGATCCTTTGTTCAGCCAATTACTGGCCTTCACAGCAGAATAGATGAGGATGAAGTAGAAGTGATGTGTCAGAGAAAGAATAGCATACACAGTGTACAGACTGACAGGAGAGTGAACTACAGATAGAAAGACTGAATTCTGAACACAGTACAAAACTGTTTGTGTGCATAGATACTGTGACAATGAAACACGACAGTGTGTGAATCACCATTGCAGAAAATGAGATTATCCTACACTAATTCTCTTATAAAAAAACAAACCAATCAGCACGTAGACAAGTGCCCTCTGATGTACATTACTATGCTGCACACACACACTTCCATATTATAAAATTCAAACTGGTCATCACAAATGCCACTCTCTCTTCTACACACAAAAGGCATGCATGTCCTCTTGAATTAATAAAATGATAAAATGCCGGTATGTATGTACATGAGTGGCTATACTAAACTTTAAGTTTTATACCATTGGAATGAGGACATTTTGTAGCGGCTGTGGCTCAGGAGGTAGAGCGGGTCATCCCCTAAGGGTTGGCAGGTCAATTCCCAGCATCTCTAGTCCATATATGAGTGTATATGAGCAAGACACCTAACCCCAGGTTGCTCTAGTGGTGCCACTGAATGTGTGAGTGCTTTGGGAGTGCGAATCTCTTATTTTCTAAGTTCCAGTATTTGTCAACAGCCAACACTCAACAATCTAATGGTAACTACAGTTGCAAGAAAAAATAATGGCAGTGTTTGCAGTTTCCTGGTTTTGTGCATAAATTGATCATTGTGATCTGTTCTTCACCAAAGTCACAAATATCGAGAAACATTATTTCAAGTTAATAAAAAACAAACAGTCATGATCTTTCATGTCTTTATTGAACACACCCATTAAACATACAAAGTGATGGTGGAAAAAGTAATGGCAAGAGTGTTTTAATAACTAGTTAGGAGGGATTTTTGGACCATTCTTCCTTACAGAACTGCTTCAGCTCAGACATATACTTAGGACATCTTATGTGAATGGCTCTCATGAGGTCATTTCATCATCTCTCTTGGGTTGAGGTCTGGGCTCTGACTGTGCCACTCCAAAAGGTGGATTTTGTGCCTCAAAAGCCATTCTGTAGTAGATTTACTTTGAAGTTTGATGTTTTCCACAATGGCAAGCGGTCCAAAGGTGGTTCAACCAGTTATTAAAACACAGTTGCCATTACTTTTTCCACCATCACTTTATATGTTTAATGGGTGTGCTCAGTAAAGACATGAAAGATCATGACTGTGTTTTATCAGCCTAGAAATATTGTTTGTTGATTTTCATGAGTTAGGTGAAGATCAAATCACATTTCATGACCAATTTACGCAGGAAACCAGGAAATCTGCAAACAGTATGTTGTATGTTACGTAATTTTGATTTTTTAATGTATTACATATTTCATAAATATTTAATGTCATACACTTATGAGCATTATATTTTAGCTGTAATTTTATATGCTTATTCCAGTGTAAAAGTGAAAAAAGAACAAAAAGACTGCATGCAGCTCCCCAAGAAACTTCTTTACACCAGGTGTGTAGACCAAGAAGTAATACTAGCAGAGTAAAAACTTGTGTATGGACTGAAAGAAACATCATGCACTATTGGATAGCCTACCTGTAATTGTTGGCCTTATAAGGATTTATTTGACCAATTATTAGATGTAATATATTTTTAACAGGATCTTTTTAAATGTGTATAGATGTGTGTTTGTATTTTGTATTATAAGGTGGTTGTATGGGAAAACTGGGGTCATATTGTTATTGTGCTGTTGTTTTTGTGCTGACTGGTCTGAAGGAGTCTATTAGTACAAGCTGTAAATACCTGATGAAGACTTAGGGGGATATTTGCTAAGGTTTTGAGGCTCATTTTCTGGTGCTAAATAGTGAAACTGCATGTGTTCATATTCACTAAGGAGTGGCAGGGGGGTTTTGTGGAGGTGAAACAGAAGAAATGCAGCATTCATACAGTATAATTATTTTGGGCATAGTATGGCTTAGCTGGATAGTTGACAGAAGAAAGAAAACTGAAAATGGAGAGAGAGAGAGAAGTGGAGGAGGATAACAGGTATAAAGCCAGATATGAGCCAGGCATGTTGCAGTCCATGCTCAAGATGCCTTAACTATTTAAATTTCTTTTAATTCTGTAGTGCTTATTTTTTTTCTGTATCGACGTGTGAAATCAGGTAGCCATTGTGATAGATTATATGTGCTGTTATTGCACTTCTGGTTAGATGCTAAACTGCATTTCATTGCCTTGTACTTGTACTGTACATGGGTAATGACAATAAAGTTTAATCTAATCTAATCTAATGAAACTGTGCAAGAGTGAATATTTACATATATCAACACCTAACAGCTTAGTTAATCAGGCCTACTAAAATAACCATGTGGAGCAGCTTCCATGTTGAAAGTCTGAAGGCTTCTGTCCTTCTGAGAGGAAAAGGAGTCAGAGAGAACAGCTGCTGCTTGAACTAAGCTCACGAGGCAGCAAAGTGTCTGCTGACAGTTACACTGCAATTAGCCATGCAGCAGGCTAAGTGAATGCTGAGTGAGCTCGGGGAATTTCTCTGATCTCTGCTCCCTGAAGGCATTTGCTTCCAGATAAAGCCTCCTGCACAGAAGAAGGATTCACTGTACTTGTGTGTATGTGCACCCCATGGGGCCCTCTAAGTGTAATCAAGATCACCCTCGACCCCTAAGGATCTCTTGATTCATAAGTTTGAGGGAAAGAAAGAGAGAAAAACAGAGAACAAGAGAAAGACGGAGGAATGAAGTCAAAAAAAGAAGTGGGGATATGAAGAAAGAGAAGTGTAAACAAAAGGGATAAGGAGCTTGAGTTGATGGGACAGGTGAGAAAAATGACAGCACAAGTTAGAAGAAATGAGTGACAGACTGACAGAAACAAGGAGGACTAGGAATGATTGAGAGCAGAAAATGCAGAGACTCTCCAAAGAAAGTGAAGAGGCTGCTGACCTGAGAGTGAAGTGCAGCAGAGAGTGATAGTACTATAAACTGTAGACTGAGCCATCTTGTACAGCTAAGCCATACAGGAGGCTCTTTTAGGACTTTTCACTGCTGGTTTTTATTGTTTGCATTACAACATCTCCAGAGCATCCATAAGTTTTTATAACATTCTGAAACTCACTGTCCAATAACCAGACCCTGTTGTTGCTTTTTCCACACCTGCTTACTGAGACAGTTACACTGTGGGATGAGTAAAGGTTGTGTGTGTTGGTGAGACAAAATCAATTATACCCTTTGAATATCTGGCTAGTATGATTGCACCATCACCTCCAGAGGTATCTGAGCAATTGGATTTTAAATCATCTTAAATCTTTACATGAAGCTCTTTCGAGATTGGATGTTCAAGATGCATGAGGTGACTAAGTGTAAATGGGGTCAAAATATTTGCTGTTAAAACTGCCTAGACACATGCACCATGATCCTGGAGATCAGAGAGGCAGTGGGATGCACTTTGCCCATAGGTGAATTCCAGTTCCCTTATTTTAATGTTCCTTGGCCCTCGATCCATGCTCAACCCAGAAATCGTTCCAGTGCGCCATGATGAAAGATCTCCCAAAGCTCTTATTTCTGAGGAGGCTGCCTGGAAGAGCTATAACTGACGATATAATAGGGCATCCTTTGCAGAAGTCTGTTATTGATTGGCACACCCCTTTATTGGAAATCAGTTTGCAGTTGGACACTTCAAATGAAGGATCAGAGGACAGGACAACTCATCTTTTCCTTGCATCTTACATGGGTGGGACAAAGACACAATAAAAAGATGCAAGTGAAGGAAACGTAGATACAATTAAAGGAAGTGGGATTCACCTCATGATTCCCCAGCATTCCCTGTAGCGTCCCCATGCTCCTCTGATTAGCATCACTAGTATCAGTTTTATTTCTCATTAGATGCCCTATGTGTAGGACTTTTCACTCCATATATAATTTGGTCTTTTAGGTTATTCTGTGTCAGGCCTAAGTTGTCTTTAAGTTGCCTGTTAATGACATAACATTTTGTTTGTGCCTATAATAATAAATGTACACTTACCTTGCAATTGCATCCTGTGCTTTGGCTCACATTTGATATAGTTTCACTATTTGTAACAGGTTTAAACACTTTTTACTTTAGACAAGAACAAGACAACAGATGTCACATTGTATAAATATGTTTGTTTCAAGCAACCTGAACCCCTCCGGCCACTTTAAGTTAAGCCCACTGGGGGTTCAGGAAAACTGAATGTGCTCATCCAAAACATTGGCAGTAATCCCTTACTGCACAGGAAAAGTGCTGGCACCATCTTGTATGTTAATAACTTTATTTGCTGGTTTGTGGACTTTAAACAGTCTCACCGTGAAATCTGGTCCTGAATTATTCGAATTTCGACACAGGCTGTCTGTGGTCTCCAAAGCTCTTAAATGCTCTGTAGTGGTTGTGTCTCACAGTGAGATCTAGGATCACTGTTTAGGATTAACAGCAATAAAGATTTCACTACATTTCTCTAACAATTGTGAAGTTTCACCTGGGACAGCACAAAGTCACACAGTATGTAGGGTCTTTTACTTCATGAATCCAAAGTCACTATTACTGACAGAAACAATAACCAAAAAAGAATAATAATAAAATAAAAAACCTTTGCAAAATACGATGCATCCAGTACTATCAGACTCTTAAAAACCAAGACACTATCAAAGAAACCAACTTTTATAGTTATTTTCTCATGAAAATTTTTGCTCTTTGTAGAAGAGTAGGAGTAGAAATCACACTGAAGGCACTTAAAACTGTCACCCACACGAACACTCACCTCGGCATATAGAGAACCCTCTCAGCCACGACAAATCCAACCCTGAAGAAAAGGTTACTGGCAGGAATGAAGGGGAACACCAGAAACAACAATCCCACCCACACCCCCCTGTTCTCCTGTCTCTGCAGAGAGAGAGAAAGAAATAGACAAACACAAAGATATTAGGAGATCGACAGAAAACAAACCTGGTATTACATTTTTCAATAAAGCCAGCCAAGAGCAGGCATTTTAACAGCTTCAAACAGCGTGGCTGAAAAGCAAAATCGTTATGAATATGTGCTATTCAGACTGCCAACTCATATACACACAGATACACATGTACACAATGATACATGCACATTCAACCGCCATGACCAATCTGTCTTAAACATAAAAAATAATCTGTGTAACAGAGAAGCAATTAAGAAGATCAAATTATCAAATTACTTCCTACTTCTACAGAGCTCATATCTGAGGCCCTTCATATACCATAATGAGGATAGCCCCTACCTTCTCTCTTTCTACTTTATCTGACCATGGCTAGGTTTATTTGAACAAACGAGCTTCTAATTGGCCGAGTCGGCTGTCCCTGGCTGGGTTCAGTGGATTGGCTCATTAGCAGTAATGAGAGTGAGTGTGTGTGAAGTGCTGATTAGTGTCACTGGTGTCAGAGGTTTGTTCTGCTGTCGGCAGGCCCATCAACAGCTATTGGGACTATCCCTGAGTTGAAGAGACCTGCAGTGATATTAGGGGCACACGATGAATGTACAAACTCTAAAAAGCACTTAGAGCTACTGAAGCAATCGTTTACTGGTAATGGCCTGAATATTATAGAGAGAGGACACAAAGACACTATTAGCTGCTAATATGAACTGACACTGATACCACCATAAACATTTTGAACATTGACAAACATAACAGAGCTACTAATAGCATCATAAACTGACAATGGACCTATGGTAATATTAGTGACAGTAATGGACAAACTGAGAGTTAGAGATCCAGAAGCAGATGGCTAACAGCCTGAGTATTATCCACACAGCCAAACTGCAGCACATTAATTATAATTGTAGATAGAGTAATTGTGCACTTAAAATTATCTACAGATGAACAAATAAATTCACTGAGCAACACTAAAACAGGTTTTAAAAATCCCTTTGTGCATTTACTAAGCAGTATATAGAGGTTACAGGCTGCCACCATACAAATTATATTATGAAGTATGGACTGTGGTTTGGTCAATTATAGTAAAACAAATTAAGTTTTCCAATGATAGCATTCTGTATAACATGAAATAAACAGTCTCACAAAGGCTGATAATAGCTAATTCATCACACCTTCAATGATGCCAATTTGACAAAATACACAGTGCCTATAAAAATTATTTATCCCCTTTAATATTTTACCCTTTTACTGATTTTATAAATCAATCATGGTCAATATAATTTGGCTTTTTGACAAAAAAACATCTTGAACTAGCAAGCGAGGCCACCAAGACACCTATGACTACTCTGAAGGAGTTACAAGCTTCAGCAGCTGAGATGGGAGAGACTCTGCATACAAGAACTGTTGCCCGACTTCTTCACCAGTCAAAGCTTTATGGGAGAGTGGCAAAGAGAAAGCCACTGTTGAAGGAAATTCATTAAATCTTGCCTAGAGTTCACCAAAAGGTACGTGGGAGACTCCATGGTCAAGTGGAAGAAAGTTCTTTGGTCTGATGAGACCAAAATGGTGCTTTTTGGCCATCAGACAAGACGCTATGTGTGGCGGACACCAAACACTGCACATCACCACAAACACACCATCCCCACTGTGAAGCACGATACATGACCTAAAGCATACAGTGAAAGCTACACAAAAATTGTTTAAAGACAACAAGGTGAGTGTTCTGGAGTGGCCAAGTCAAAGCCCAGACCTCAGTCCAATAGGGAATTTGTGGCTGGACTTGAAAAGGGCTGTTCATGCCCGATCCCCGTGCAAACCTGGCAGAGCTTGAGCAGTTTTGCAAAGAAGAATGGAGTAAAATTGCAGTGTCCAGATGTGCAAGCCTGAGTGAGACCTATCCACACAGACTCAGTGCTGTGATTGCAGCTAAACGTGCATCTACTTAATACTGACTTGAAAGGGGTGAATATTTATGCAATCACTTATTTTCCATTAACTATTTTTATTTGACATTTCTCTGTGCAAACCTGTTTTTTGTAATTTTTTTGTCAAAAAAGCCAAATTATATTGACCATGATTAATTTATAAAATCAATAAAAGGGTAAAACATCCAAGGGGGTGAATACTTTTTATAGGCACTGTAAACAGGCCTGTAAAGAGAGTATCAGGACCTGACAATACAGCAGCCAATGTGATGAGCTTTTGCTCCCCTTGATTGGTTTTGTTTTCCCAAAAAAGTCAAATTTCACATTCAACTGATTTAAAATGTAAACAAACAAACAAAAAAATACATATTTTAAAATTTGGGCAAAAACCTGGATATCCACTTATAGCTCTCTTGTCCTTAGGTCCCTTTTGAAAGGACATCAGTGAAACAATAACAAGCAATAACAACAACATTCAGTGCTTGGTAGAAGTCAATATTATTGATTTTCTGCTAAATCCTTGTATTATGAAGGCAAACCTCCCTTTCTTTTTATATCTTCTTCAGCATTTACCTCATCTTTATCTATTAGTTTCTGTTAGTCGCTATTAGTTCATTTCAGTTTTTCTGGCTGGTTCCTTTAATTCACTAGTTTATCTGTTAATTATCTTATCCACTGTTTATCAGTTAGATTTTCCCTTTAAGACTTTGATTAGGTATATTTTAGCATTTTTAAACAAATTTCCTGCAATTAGAGTTCAAATCAAATGGTATAAGTGAATGTCTATAGACACAATGGAAGACTACACTGTTCAAAATGAACATCAGAAGACTGTTATCACTGGTTTGTAAATCCATCCATCCATTTGGCTTTCTACCTAGTTACACCCTCCAGCTCTTCCTATGGGAGCTGCATTCCCAGGACTGATAGAATATGTAATCCATCCACTGTGTTCTGCTTTGCCACATGGTCTCCCTCCAGTTGTACATGCCCAGAATTCTTACACAGAGAGGCAGGAGGCACTGGCTCTCAACTTCATCCTTAAGGGTAAGATAAACCACCCTGAAAAAGAAACTATTTGCTGAATCTTGTAACAATGATCTCCTTCATTTATTTACTTCCTATGACTGAAGACCATAAATTAAAATTTCAGCACAGATCTACCAGCAAATGGAGAATTTTATCTCTAGGCTCAGCTCACAAACAGTGTGTTCTTTCTTATGTTCCATCTTGACTTGAAAAAACTCTTGAAGTATTGGAACTCCCATACTTGGGCAGTAACTCACTCTCAACTGAAAGGGAGCAATGCAACTTTTTCTGGCGGGTAAAACGGTCTCAGACTTAGGGATGCACCTATAGACCATTTTATGGCCTTTTAAGGAAAATTGAAGGCAAATACGAATCACCTCAGACTACATCACCTACCAAAAATTTAATCTTGCTGTGTTGGAGGGTGCCAGAATTGAAGGAGTAATGGCTCTCAGCTGAAGTTTTATCACATAACAGCTGCCACTGCCAGGGGCAATAATGTTAGGTAATTTCTCTCGTAGCTTTCTCTGTGCATGAGCAAGCTTTCTTAGCCAGCTGATTCAAATAGGTGTTCAAGAAGTGGCATTTGCTATTCCCCCTAGTAGCTACTGTATCAGTAACCAACCAACCAGCAGTGCAGTTAATAATAATGCCTTGTCTGGCATTTTGATATAGTAGTCTTTAGCATACACACTTGATTTCTCAGGTAGTGTAAATGTCTGGCCATTCCACTGTGGGTAATTCTGTCAGATCATCCATTCAATAAGTGAACCCGTAGGGATCAGGGTGCAGAGCCATTTTTCAGTCTGTTGCTCTCGTCAATGGGATCCCTCAGTCCCCTTTAAGTAAGCTACAGTCAGCTAAGGTCAGCCACTGTGAATTACCACAGTCCCTTTAAGTAAGCTACAGTCAGCTAAGGTTAGCCACTGTGAATTACCACAGTCAGTAAAGTGAGAACTGATGTTTAAGCAACTTTTTAGCCAAACAAAACAACAATGCATGCAGTTAAATACAGTGCTTTCTCCTAGAATGGCACCCCTGTCCCATCATTCAACATGCCACGATACCACTTAACGGTAACATTATGTCAACATCACGCTGATTGACTAGGTTGTTAGGTGGAGGGGAAGAAATGGCAGCAGATCAGAGATACTTTAGCAGGTGACGACGACTGCGACCTGTGCTGTGACTCCTACTCGGTCTGAAAAAGTAGTATCGGTGCCCCCAGCTCAGACTTTGAGATCTTGTTTAACAGGGACACAGTTAAAAGCTGATCCAATTACCTGCAATTTTAATTTTGCTGCCTATCTGATGCTGCCTGTGAGCCAAATGTATGAATAAGGCATCACTTCTAATGAAAATAATGAAACAAAGACACCATCACTGTGGTTTCCTGTGGAGCTGGGGTTGTTACTTCTAATTGCTGGCTATCATCCTAACTGCCTGGCATCAGAATCTACTCGCCCTTGCTCACCAGCTTTTCTCTCCTCCCTTTTTGCTTGCTTCTCTTCATCTCATTAAACTTGCTGTTCTGGTGATTTTCTCCAATCTTTTGATCCTCTACTCCTTTTCAATTTATTCCCTTCCTTTTCCTCTCTTCTTTCTCTTTCATCATCTCAGCTCTCTTCTGTGTACTGCATTGTATCATTCATTTCAGGGGCTGCTGTCTTCAGAGTCCTTGTATTGTGCCATTGCAAAAACTGAAACTCTAGCAGCAAAATGCTACCTTTTTGCCTAATTTGGATAACACAACCAGCGTAACCGTTGATGTCTTTGATCTACTGACTCACTTGTTTAATTTTGATCTGTCAGTAAAGGACAAGAACTCATGACAGTATGACAACCACCTCATTTGAGAATATCACATAACCTCAGGTAATTAGCCTTCTGTGCTCTGAAAGACAGTCTTGTAGATCACATTCTTTGAAGAAAGTCAGCCCATTCTTAAAAAGTTTTAATCTCTAGGATTTAAAGGTGAATTTTCAAAATTCCCTGCTTTTTGTGCCATTCATGTGTTGTATCAA